GAGTTTGCCAATCAATGTTTTTAAATGATGACTTGTGTTCTCTCTTTGCGATGACTCCTTTGCCGTGTTTAAGGTGGACGACTCGGTGGTGGCCCAGAACATGCACGAAACCTTGCTGGAAGCCATGAAAGCACTCAGCGAGGAGTTCCGCCAGCGGAGCAAGTCTCAGTCGAACTCAGGCCCCGGAGGAGGTGCTACCGCTTCCAACCCCATCAGCGTTCCCTCCCGCCGCCACCACCCGAACCCTCCTCCCAGTCAGGTGGGGTTCCTGCGGCGGCCCCGCACCGAGCCCCCCGGGGGAGCCAACGGCGTAGCAGCGGTCAGCAGTGCCAGTGCTTCTCCCACCCCACGGCACAGCTTCCCCAGATCTCGCACCGCCAGCGATGGCGGGAAAGGCGAGGATGGGTCCACGCCGCTCCACGGCATGAACTTGAGCCCCTCCGCCAATGGCTCCTGCTCCACCACCCCGATCCTCCGATCCAAGTCGGCCCGTTCAGCTCCAACCTCGACGGCGAAAACTCCCTTTGGGTTGATGCGCTCCATCTCCACCCCAGCACCCTCCCCAGCTCCAAGTCTGTCGTCTAGCTCTGGGCATGGCTCCGAGTTTGGCGGCCTAACATCAGCCGGTGCTGTTCCGGGCTCAGGTACTTACAGTCGGGTTCCCTCTCACCATGCCTCCATCTCTGGCTCACCCAGTGACTACGGTTCTTCAGATGAGTACGGTTCCAGCCCAGGGGATCACACCCTTCTCCCCTCCCCAAGCCTCCCTGGAAGCTCCGTCGGTAGCATCGGCAGCCAGTCGCTCGGTGAGGATGGAGCCAACTATATCCTGATGGGTCATCGCGGTGCCGGAAACGGTAATCAAGGCAGCGCAACGCCAAACACCCAGCCCGGAACGCCGGCCGGGGGCTCCCAGTCGAGGAGAGTGCTGCGTCGCTCCTCCAGCCGTGAATGTGAAACTGAGCGCAGGCTGCTGAGCAAGCGGGCCTCCCTGCCGCCTATGGCCCTGGAAAGACTGGCCCCGTGTCAGCGCAGGGCCGATGAGCCCGCGGGGGAAGACTCGACTGATTACGCCATTATGTCCAGCACGGGCCGAGAATCCTTAAATCCCGCCTGCTCTACCGGGAGAGAATCGGCCGCAAGTGCTAGTGCGGGCGGAGGAGAGTACCTGGACGTCGCGGTGGAGTTCAAAACCGAAGGGGCCGGAGGAACGGGTGGTGGTGTAGATGTAGGCGTGGACAATGGGTACATGTCCATGCTGCCCGGAGTCACTCAGCCCCCGGCGTCCTTATCCCAATCGCTGGCCGTGTCTGTCCCAGACTCGGACCCCAAACCTGCCGACGACTACATGGCCATGACCCCTAACAACAGCGTGTCCCCCCCTCAGCAGATCCGTCCGTTACCAACCTCTGACGGGTATATGATCATGTCCCCCAACAGTAGCTGCTCCCCAGACCAGCGTGGGGGCCTCTCTGGGGGGGCCTGGGTTGGCAGTGGTAGCGCAGACAGCCGAGCTGGCAGCGACTACATGAACATGTCTCCAATCAGCGCTCGCTCTGTAAACGGCAGCCCCCCACCTCCCGAGCCCACCAGCCACTTGGAGACCGGCTTGCAACAACAAGCCCCCAAGATGGTTTATTCGTACTATTCTCTTCCCCGGTCGTACAAACACAACCCCTCCGCCGGACATTTTGACGACGGGCCCGGGCGAGGCAGGAAGCCCAGTGGGAGTTGCAGTCGGGGAGCGGGAGGAGTCCGAACCAGCGCTGGGTGTCAGGAGCAACTGGCAGCAGGCGGTTCAGCGGTTGGGCGTCACCTTTCGCTGTCCTCGTCCTCGTACTCGTCCAGCTCAGCCAGCAGCGAGAGTCTCGGGGAGGTGGACGATCGAAGTCAGGCTTTGAGCAAAAAAAGTGGATCTCAGTCCAAAGAAGGGAGCAAGATGGCTCAGAGGCGGGGCTCTGGTGGGTTTTCTAAGCAAAATAGGCACACTAGAAGCAGACCGGTGAGCCTGTTTGTTGACGTATCCAAGGCTAACACCCTTCCGAGGGTCCGTGAGAACCCGCTTCCTCCAGAACCTAAGAGTCCTGGGGAGTACGTAAGCATCGAATTTAAGGGGGAGAATTTAAACCTTATGGGGATTGGACTAGGACGCGGCAGGGGTCTAAGACACAATTCTTCCCTGCCTCATGGCTCAAATAGCCAGCTTCCTCAGAACAGACCGACTTCTTGTGTCGGAAACTTTATCCCGCTCTCCCGTAGTCCATCTGCCCCCATCACTCCCCCAGCTGCCTCGGAGTATGTCAACATGGATCTGGGCCCTTCTCCGTCCCCCTCCCCGCTGTCTCTCACCCAGTCCGTTTTCCCAGCTTTCCACACCCCTCCCACACCTCCGACTCTCGCTCA